CTAATTCAGTGAATGTCTATTCTATCCCCACCACACACACACACTCTCAATTGTTAGCATCTGCATATCAGAACATTTAGCCTTTGGTTTTGTGGGATTGGCTTATTTCTCTTAATATGATAGTCTCTAGTTCCATCCAATTACTGGCAAATGCCATAATTTCATTCTTAAGGCTGAGTAGTATTCCATTGTGTGTATTTACCAGTTTCTTTATCCATTTATCTGTTGAGGGGCACTTAGATTGGTTCTGTAGCTTAGCTATTGTGAATTGAGCCGCTATAAACATTGATGTAGCTGTGTTGCTGTAGTATGCTGACTTTAAATCCCGGGGTATAAACCGAGGAGTGGGATAACTGGGTCAAATGGTGATTCCATTCTAAGTTTTCTGAGGAATCTATACTGCTTTCCATGGTAGTTGCACCAATTTGCAGTCCCACCAGAAATATATGAGCATTCCTTTTCCCCATACCCTCACCAACAGTTATTATTACTTGTATTCTTTTAAAAATTTTTTTAGTTGTAAGTAGACTCAGTACCTTTACTTTATTTTATGTGGTGCTGAGAATTGAACCCAGTGCCTCACGTGTGCTAGGCAAGCACTCTACCACTGAGCCCGTCTGTTACTTGTATTCTCGATAACTGCCATTCTGACTGGATTAAGATGGACTCTCAGTGTAGTTTTATTTGCATTTCTGTAATGCTAGAGATGTTGCACACTTTTTCATATATTTGTTGACCACTGTTTTTCTTCTGTGAAGGGCCTGCTCACTTCCTTTGTTGGGCTGTATTTACCATATATCTCTCCATGTCTTCATCCACCAAGCTTCTCATCTTTCAGTTTGTTTCCAAGTAGTTGCAGACATCAGTAGCTGTCATGTTCTTAGGAGCTTCGTTGGTTAGCCAGAGGAATCATTCTGCATACGTTTTCCAATCCCTTGCTCAAACTATCAGGAAGCGGATCCACGTGCTGTTACTGTAGATTGCTCTTTTTACTCACTGGCACACGGGCCAGGTCTTTTGTCACACAGCCTTGGCAAGTGCCATCTCTCTTGGCACACTCCAAGGGGGTATGAACCACACTCTGTGGGCACTTGCCTCTCAGGTCCTGTAGCTGGCCTGAGGAAAGAACCTTGGGTCTTCCAGATTTCTTTTTAGCTATCTGCAAGCCAGAGGGATGCAGAAGAACAGTATTCTTTTGTATGATCACTTTCTTACCTTCCTTCTATTTAGGGTTTGGAGTTTCTTTATAGAGATAGTTGCTCTCCCAGGGCCTGGGACGTGCTGCTGTGGCTCTGGTTGACTTGGAATTGTTCAAGCTGTACTTCACCCCGGCCCTAGGGAGGTCTCAGTTTGTTTGAATGATATTAACAGATACGACATTAAGACTGATAGGTAATATGAAATATATGCATTGATCTGTAGAAATCGACTTTCATCTCCAGTTTTTCATTGATGTATTTATGATAAATATCTGACAAATGTTTGCTGTCCTCCAGGCCCTGCCCGGGGGATTGGAATGCAGCAGTGCTTTCTGTCTAAGCAAGTGCCTGCTCTCAGGAGCTCATGGGAGGGGACCTGGACATGCTGTCCTTTTTCCTGGCTTTTCTCAGCAGGTTTTCAAGGTTCATCGTGTTGGAGCACGTACCAGAGTGCCTGTGCTTCCTCAGCCTGGGTGGTTTTCCGTTGTGTGTCTGCCAGCTTTTGTTAGTTCTTCATCTGTTGAAGGATGTGGGTTGAGTCCAGCTGTGACTGTCTCAGTTTGTGTGCTGGGGACTTTGTCCCCAGTGCCCGGGGTGGGAGGTGGGACCTTTGTGAGGATTAGTGTGTCCATCCCTAGAGCACTTCTCCTGCAGCAGTGAGCCCTTCTGCTTTCTGCCATGGGACGCCTCCCCAAGAAGAGCCCTCCAGGGCTGGCCCCCCAGTTCCAGTCTTCCGAGTCTCCAGGATTGTGTAGAATGAATTTCTCCTCTTCAGAACATGCCTGGTCTGATGTCACAGCACCACAATCAGACGAAGCCTGGTGTTCGGCCTTGGGCTGCCCCGACTGTCACTCTGGTGGAGTCACCGTTCCCTTTGTTGAATACCCAGCCCCGCTTCACCCACCTGCTCCTTCCCGCTGCTGTCTTCCATTCTGTTTGTGGGTGTTGTTGAATAGCCGACCTGGCGGGCCGGAGGCTGCTGTCACTGAGGTGGGATTCCAGTTCCGGGGAGAGCATGTTTTCTCGTGCTTGCTGCCCGTGTGCTTACCTTCTCTGCCCACTTTTTAATCGGGGCTTTGGCCTTTTTTACCACAGTCCATGTGGCCAGCCCATCAGGGTGTGTCCGGCAGTGTTCGCTCCCGCCCTGGGTTGCCCTTTCCCTCTCCTGGTAGACTTCTTTCCTGTGGGGCCTGCCTGGTTTTACAGGTCCCAGTCCTTCTCTGCCTGAGCTCTTGGTCCCATATTCAAGGGACCGTTGTCAGATCTAACACCATCAAGTTTTTCCTGCCTTTTCATCTAGGAATTTTATATTTTTATTCTTGAACATAGGTATTTGGTCTCTTAAGTTGATTTTTATACATGGTGTAGGGGGAAGGTCCGCCTTTCCCTTTTCCATGTGTGTGTCCAGTGTTCTGGCACCATTTGTTGAAGACACTATTGTCACCCACTTGTGTCCTTGTGAAAAGAATCCGCTGACCCAGAGGCAAGCCTTTATTTCCAGGTGGTTTACCTGTCCCTATGCCTGCACCCCATAGTTCAGATATGTCGCTTTGCAGCATGGTTTTAGACTTGGGAATGCGGGTCCTCCACCTCTGCAGTTCAAGACCCCTGTTGCTGTGTGGGACTCCTGGAATCCCACAGGAGTTTGGAGGAGGCCTTTTTTCATTTCTGCAAAAACAGAGTAAAAGACCATTGGGGTTCTGATGGGACTCGGGTTGCCTCTGTGGGAGCCTCTGGGGTGTGCTGCCGTCTTAACAGTGTCTTCTCACATGTGCACGTGGAACGGTTTCCTGTACTTGGGTCGACTTTACTGTTCTTCAGCAATATATTTTAATTTTCAAGGCATAAATCTTGTACCTTGGTTAAATTTATTTCCAAGTATTTTATTCTTTTTGATATTTTAAATGGAACTATTTTCTTAGTTTCCTCTTTGAATTGTTTCTCATTTATACTAATATAATTGACTTTTATGTGTTGATTTTATATCCTGCAACTTGTTGAATTATTAGTTACTGGGGTTTTTTTCCTGGATTCTTCAGGGCTTTCTGCATATAAATTAATCTCATCAGTGAACAGATAGTTCTTCTTTATCTGGATCTCACTGGTTTCTTTTTCTTGCCTAATCACCTGGTGAGAGCAGAGGTTATTTTGAATGCGTTAGATTTGAGATCCTTATTAGACCTCCAGGGGCACATGCCAGGAAAGGGGAATGCTCGAGTCTGGAGCACAGGGAATAGGACCCTGCTGCAGATGTGACGCTGGGAACTGCCACCAGGTTCTCTGAAGATGGTGTGTAAACCAGAGGGCCACCACCAGGAGGGAGCTGGGGTATAAACCAGAGGGCCACAGCAGGGGCTGGTGTGTAAACCAGAGGGCCACAGCAGGGGCTGGTGTGTAAGCCGGAGGGCCGGCAGCAGGCGGGGGGGCTAGTGTGCGGTCAGGGTGAAGCACGGGGAGGAGGCCTTGTCAGTGTCCCATTGCTGGTGTCCTGGAGATGGGCACCCCCTACAAATGGAACACCACAGGTTTCTTTTGGGTGGTTCCACAGAACCATTTTGGGTGGTGCATCTCGGTGCACCTTTGATTCCTGTCTGGATGGTACTGAAGAGCAGGCCTGGGTTTTGGCCACCGGTGTCTGATAACCAGAGATGCCGTGGAAAGCCCTGGTCTCTACCTGGCCCAGGGAGCTGCATGTGGGGTTCCACGTGTGGTGTATGAAATACAGAAGAGCTAACCGTGGAATATTCCGGGAGGCTGGCAGAAGGACGGGCAGCAGTCGCCAGTCCTCGGGTCCTTCCTTTGAGTATTGTTTTGGTTCGTGCTCCCCCCACGTTCTTCCTCTGTCTCCCAGACGTCAGGTCCCTCCAGGCCTGCCGTCTGTCAGCCTGTCTGTCCCTCATGTGCTGCATGCTGGCCATTCAGGACATGAGTGATGTCAGTGCCTGGCTAAGGGTCATGCCCCACAGTCAGCCACGTTGGAGGCACCTTGTGTGCACCACAGAACCCACGGGTCATGTGGATTCAGGTAAATACAAGCTATAAAACGTTCAGTAATAAATGATTCAGTGTAGTTGCAGGATATAAAATTGACACACAAAAATCAGTTGTACTTTTGTTAGTTTCCATTTTGTGTTTACTACAAAGATTAAAATGTACACCAGCAGACTCCCAGAGAGTGTGCTTTTGGCTCAATAGGTCACCAAATTGTCTGTCTATATATATATATATAATTATTATTATTATTATCATTTCTGTCTGGTACAGTTACAGACGATTCGTATTTTAATATTTTCTATAGCGTTTGAGCTTTTTTATAGTAAGTGTGCATTTATTACTGAGTATTTAGTCTTCTAAGAAAACATGTACATCTCCAGTCGGTAGCAAATGCCAGCACTGTAATCAAGGCCCGTGCTTCTCTGTGGGGACCTGCTGACCCACACCTACATCTGCAGTGCTAGTGTGGTCACCTGGGAGCCTCGGGGCAGGGGAAGCCTGCAAAGGCCATCTTCGAAGTTCTCACCACTCACAACCAGGTCTGCATGTCCATGTGGCCAGAGGCCCTCCAGCCAGTGGGTAGACACTCCTACTTCATGTCTGGATTATTTAGGATTAGTTTGGGAATAGTATCTTAATTTCTATCTTGTGGGCTGTTTCTCCCGGGAATATAGAGGGTTTTTTCTTTGATTTATGTTTTAATGTTTGTTTTAAAGTGATGTAACTTTTCAAAAAAAGTACTAAAGTTTATTTCTGTGAGAAAAACATTTTTTTTAACTGTTTTTATTTCTCTTTTGAAATCTCTAGCCAACAAGAACGTTAGTCATGACGAGCATGTCATCCGAGTAAGTCCTTGTTCTTTTCATAACTTTCTGTTCAATGTAAAACCTGGTCATCCTCCTTGCTTGCATACTGTAGTTCTGTGTGCTTTGGGGCAGTTACAGGTCTGTACTGTGTCACTTTTATTGGATGTAATTAATATGTGAGTTAGAAAATCATTGAAAACTAAAACTGGCTGAAGGGGAATCCATGTTTGTTCCTAGATTTAAAAAAGCTCATCACTTTCTCATTAAAGAATTTAAAAAGAAATCCATTATTTAGGCCATAGTCTTGATTTTTATTTTTGTTTTTCCTAATCCTGGAGAGCCGAGGGGTGTCCAGGCAGTGTGGGGAGTGGCCTGTCCTTGCTGTTCCTGGGCCTGCTGGGCTCCTGATGGTGTTGCCTGCCCTCCCTCCCACACAGGTTCAGTGAGTGGAGCACTTTGCTGAAAGGTCTCCAGGAGCCTGGGTAGAGCCTTCCTGAATCCGTGTCAGGCAGCCATCTTCGCATCTTGCCGAAGGGTTAATGGCTTGCTGGCCTGCGCTTATCATCTCCCTTAAACATTTAGTGCAGCAGAGAGCATCCAACAAAAACACAGGGCTGTATTCCCTGGGACAGATTGTTGAATTCCTATTTGAAGGGGAAAACAGTGTTTTTTATATACCAATCATAGGTTTTGAGGTTTTAAGACATTCACCAGAACATTCGGTATGTTGCTGAAAAATTCACTGCAGGAGAACACATGTGTGGGCCACATTCTGAAGCAGGCTCCTTTTCCTGCCCGTGGTGTGGAAATGAAACGACTGATTCTTTAAAAACTGGTCATTATGGAGTTTGGGGGGGGGAGCTCGCTTTTAATTTTTGTAAATATATTATGAAATATATTGAACATTTTAAACAGTAATACAGAAGTAATATTGAATATGGGCATAATGTTTTAAAAGTCCACATTTGTTCCTAGGTTTAAAAAAAGTTTATCATTTTCTTATTAAAACATTTAAAAAGAAAATTTTCATTTAGGCCATATTCTTGTTTTTTTTTGTTTTTTGTTTTTTTTTTTAATCCTAGAATGCTTGTGTGCCTTAAGAAGGAGACCTGGGCAGTCTGATACTGCATGGGCTGTCCAGGTCTAAAGCTGCTTCTAGTCATTTGCACCTCTGCTGGTAGCCGGCAGACTGGCAGTGGAGAAAATCAGATATTCAGAAATGAGTTATTTAGATTACTTTAGAGGGGTTTACTTATTTTTGCTGGTAGTTTCTTTTATCTTATTTGTCCTTATTTTTTTCTATATTTAATAATTTTGACTACATTCTTAGGCACATCTTCCCTGGTGCAGATGGTGTTGGACTGGGTTCTGACCCTCTCGTCTCTGCCCTGCAGAGCCCAAGGTGTTACAGCCTTGCCTCACAGGTGAAGCACCTGATCACCAGAGGTGGACAGTGCATGGAGATCAGCTGAGATCAAGAGCCACACTCAGTGGGGGAAGCTGTGCCAGCATGGAAGACTGCCTCTGCCCCCTAGTCACCTGTGCAGAGGACAGACGCTCACTTCTTAACCTGCTGAGTGGGGCTCGGGTGGCATTTCAGGTCCTGGCATTTCCCCACGGATTCCCAAGCCGTGCTGGGAGGGGGAGAGAAGGGCACATTAGAACTGAAGGTGTTGGGAAGGTCATTGTGAGATAGGAGAGACCTGAGAGTCATTTGCTCAGGAAGTTAGAACATTTAAAAAGAAAGTTTGTAAGGCATTAAGAGATGATGATGAACAGTACTTTGTGAAAGGTGCTTTCTGTCAAATTTGCTCTAAGCTTTGATAGGATGACTTAATAAAAAGGTTTTTTTCCTCCTTTAGGAGGAAAACTGAGTTTGGCACTCAAAAAGTGTTATATTTTGGTTGGGTTTGTGGCTCAGCAGTAGAGCACTCGCCTAGCACATGCGAGGCCCTGGTTCGATCCTCAGCACCACATAAGAATAAATAATCAAATAAATGTATTGTGTCCAACTACAACTAAAAAATAAAACAAAAAAGTTATATTTTCAAAATAAGCATTTGGTGCTGACCATGCCCACATGGGATCACACATGCCCAAGAAGTGGGTAATTGGTGTGGAGGGGAGAGCTCTCGGCTGGTGTCAGGATGTTTCTGATGCTGACTCTGTCCCTCATCCACCCAGTGACCCTGTGAAAGCGCGTATGACCTTAGGGCCATTAAAACAGATGAATTGGAATTGAGATCTGAAGATTTATTTCTCTAAATCTCATTTCACTAATTTTTTAAAAAATTAAGGCATGAACACAATATCCAAAACTGGCTTAACACCTTAGCTTCCCTAATCTTCTGATTATTCAGTGTAACCACCTTGATTTATGTGCAGCAGACATTCATTTTGTGTCCTCCTTTGACAGGAAGCAGAATATCATCATCCAGGTGGTGGATAAATTGAAAGGCTTTTCCTTTGCGCCAGAGGTCTGTGAGACGACCACCCACGTGCTGGCCGGGAAGACGCTGCGCACCCTGAACATACTGCTGGGCATTGCGCGTGGCTGCTGGGTGCTCTCCTACGAGTGGGTAAGCCCTGTGCTGGAGCTGCTGCTCTTATGGGTGTTGGATGGGTTTGGTGGTGCACAGCGATGGCCCCGGGAGCCGACCAGGGCGCCCTCCAGCCAGTGCAGAGGAGGCCGTGAGGCAGGACCACTGGAGCCCCTCAGTGGTGATGAGACCTGAACACACTTGCACTGGGAACGCCAAGCACTTACACTCAAACGAGCTTTGCTCTGTTGTTTGACCAAGAAATAATGTGACCTGTGCTAGTGACGGTTTGGAAAGCCAACAGAATCCAGCAACTGTTTTCACAGATGGACTTACTTAGGATGGAACATGTTCATTCAATCCCATTGGACACGATTGTCTTGCACACATCTATCTGTGGCATTATTTGCCCTTATTTCGGTGCATTAAGGTTACTTTTTAAAAATCATAATTTTCATAACTCATAAAGATTGAAGTGTTCTGCTCTTCCTCCTGTTTTTACTTTGACCTCAGCCTGAGGTCACTGTGGACATCCCTTTGCTGGTTCGGTACTTGTGTGTTCCGCTGTCCACCCTCCTCTGCCCCCACGGATGTTATATTAATACTTTACTCAATTAAGCCAGTGGAATTATACTGTGCACACAAACCACAGATGTGCTTTTAAGAATGGCGCTAGTTGTTTTCCTTTGTTGTAACTTGGCCCTGAAACTCTCTTACAAGAGGTCCAAGAGCTTAGTGCTTAAAGTCACAAAGTACGAAAGGTTGGAATTCTAGAAAAATGTGCCGTTTGCGTTGGTGGCAGCTAGGGATTACCTTACCTGAGTACTAGCACAGCTTTTTGTTTGTTTTTATGAGATAGAACTTAATTCTAGTTTCAGTGCATGAATTCCCCGTTTGCTTCCAATTTAGAAAGTGTCTTCATCACTCAGCTCCTTCCTTCATGCTTCAGAGGAAAGCCATCTTCATTTTTCATGAATATACATGTCTGAGCTGGATCCTGTACCCAGGCTATTCTTCTGAGACTTTGAGCTGTCCAGAGAAAGCAAACGAGAATTTAGCATTGGCCGTTGGCCCTGGACATCTGTAGGTCTCTGCTCAGGTCTGGCACCGATCAGTGCTTTCCACTGATTGTCCATGAAAACAGAACTGGGAGGAAATGTAGATGGTGCTGACTCTGCCTGAGTTACCTGGTCAAGGTGGGCAAGGATGTTATCAATATTATTTGCAGTAATGGGGACAGAACCCAGGGCCTCGGGCATACTGGCAAGGACCGTGCCACTGCCCTACACCCCCAGCTGTCAAACACATTATTTAATAAACTAATGTTTGGGCTATACTCCTGCCTGGAATGAAGAACATGAAGCAGAGAAGTGAATGATGGCAGCACACGTGTAACACGAAGGAAAAGACAGAAAAAGCTGTGTTCATAGGCATCACGGCGTCCATGTGCTCAACTGCAGGAAACCTGCTGAGAGGTCTTAGAGCCAGGAACTGAGTTTAACAAGTCGTCAGGATGCAAGTCAAAATAACAAAGTGTAAGCCCATTAATGTGTGTGCAGGACCTGTATGTTGACAACAGTATAATGCTGATTTTAAAAAATCGAACATTGATAATTAAACTCCATCAAAACAGGAAAATTTCACTCTGTGAGAAACATTAGAAAGGAACTGCAGAGGCCTTTCAATAGTACTAATATTTGCCAATCTAGTATCTGACAAAAAACTTACATCCAGAATATATAAAGAACTCTCAAAATTCAAGAATAGAGTCCAAACAAATTTTTTTAAGCAACATCTCACCAAAGATCCACAGTTGGCAAATAAGTACATGAACAGATGCCCAATACCACTAATCATTAAAGAAATGAAGAGTACAATAAGATACATTACGTGAAAAGATCACGTAGCCTCTTCAACCACTGCCTCTGGCCTGGATGCCTCCCGTCGGCATTTAATCTTGACATCATCCCTTCTACCTTAAATTTAATTTAAAAACAACTTTGCCTGGATTTCTTTACCTTCTGTGTCCCTTTCTCCTCCTCTTACATGGCAAATGTCACAAGTCCTGGTCTCCTTGTCCCCAGATCTGGCTTCCATGCAGTGATCCCATGTGGCTCTCCTGCTGTGCAGGATAGAGGGTGACCTCTATCCACTGCATCCGTTTCTTAGTTACACAGCATCACAGACGATTCATAAAGCCTATACATGAGCTGGACAGATGATAAAGCCAGCATCGTGGTCTCCCCCCACACCAGGGCAGAGCCTGTCCACGCTCTAGAAGGCTCGCGTATACTCTTCTCCACTGCCTTGAAGGGACTCTGTCTTGACTTTCATGGGGATCAAGCCTTGCTTTTAGCATTTGCAAAACATAGCTCAGTACTCCTGTTTTTCTGCTCTTTTCATGAATGCAGTCGTACTGAATTTCGTTGGAGTTAGCCCAGTTGCAGAAAGGAGTCCTGTTCAGTGCGTGGTACCCATGTGAACCAGATCCTGAGGGTGGGAGGGTCCACTGCTCCCTGAGGAGGGGCAGTCCCAAATGTGGCTTCCTGTGGGCCTGCCCTTCTCCCCACAGGATCCTGGGCCTCCAGGTCTGGGCTGTGCAGTGCCCAGGGAGATCCTGTAAAGATCTGCCCCAGATCCAGACAGGGAGGGGTACGTTGCTAAACATCCTGCCTCCCAAGTGACAGGATGGCTGTGCTTGTGCTGTGAGGAGGAAGAGGGACAGAAGCGCCCCCTCCTAAGGGGGAGAGTGATAGGGACCCACTGTGTTCCACCTCTGGGGCCCTTCTCCATGGCTTGGGGAGAGGGTTCATGCCTGTACCGAGGCTCCTGACCGTGACGTCCAGCTTCCTCTCCTAGTAAGCATATTCGCTAAGCACACGGTGTAGCAGTCCAGTCTGTCCCCAGCCCTGGTCCGGTGCGGGACAGGATGCACGTGGCACCCTCCGAGCAGGAAAGGGACCTGAGCTTGTGTGTCTGACTCCTTCTAACCCACTTCGTATTTTCACATTATTGGACAGATTTATCACTTGATGTTTCAGCAGCAGTTTGTTTACTTTTATAAAGAAAAGTTGATTTTTGGCTCAAATTCAGTGTTTTAGAAAGCCGACGACAGTTATTTCTTAAGTACCCATCACAGGGCCGTGGTGTTGCCGCCTTGCTGATCCTACCCCTCCACGCAGACTTGGCTGCTCCTCCTCGTCTCCCTATGGACCTCTCTCTCCCACCACTTCCAGTGACAGGCTGCCCTGGGCTTGTCCTTAGCCCCCGTCCTTGTCTTTCCCCTCTCTGGTCTCACTCAGCCTAGTTCACCAGGAGTCACAAACTCAGAAGGTGTCTTCAGGAGCAGAGCAGGTGGGGGACTTCCCGGGGCGGGGCAGGGATCAGGATCAGGATCAGGAAGGCTTCTGTCTCCCTGCGGACCTTCAGTTACACAAGGAGACCCAGCTGTATCGGTGTTGTGGAAGCTCCTCCCACATGCCCTTCGTGGTGAAAACCCCAGGTCATGACTGAGGTAGCATTTAGTGCTGGTGCTCACCTTTATAGCCACAGCACAGACGGCCTCCGGTCCCCAGGTCACTCTGACCAGCTGCTCACTGAGAAGTTTACTAGGATGTCCTGTGTGCCCGTCTAAGAAGGCCTTCTGACCCCGGGGGAAAGACCTCCTTCCCCACCATCACCCCGAGTCGCCAGGCTGCTGCAGAATGCTGCCCACACCTGGTGTGTGTCCAGCTGCATTGCCCCGTGTGAGCTGCCGTCCCTCTGCACGTGCTGATCTCCTTTCAGCTGTCCCTTTTCCAGAAGCCGAGGAGAGGCCCAAGGTTCCCATCAGCAGAAACTGGTGGGAGCAGTTGGTCAGGCTGTACTTGGTGCATTTTCAGTAACACAGGTCGACATTGAGGTGGTGGTTTGCGTGGTTGTCTGGTGGCTGTCTGCCTGTAGATGGTAGCCACATGAGCACAAAGACCCCGTCTGGCTGCTCACCCTCTCCCCTGCTCCTGGGCGTAACACTGAGGAGAGCTGACGGCGCTCCTCTCCTGACTCACTGTGGCCAGCCGAGTTCTCTCCAGGAGGCTAAGGAAAGCCCACAGCAGTTACTTAGTCTCACCAAAGTGGAGTTTGGTGACAGTCCATCTAGGTGCCTTACACATGTGTGTCGAACCCAGCCCCCACCCACATCAGCAGGCCGCACACCCCTCCCCCAGGGGATGACACAGGATGGTCAAGTCTCCTTGATGACAGGAGCACTATGCCTCCCCATCACCACCCATCAGGAAGTAGCATATTCACAAATGTGGCTCTTATTCTGTGCCCCCCCACAGTTACTAGTGCATTAATCCCATAAGAGCAATAGACCGTGGTTCGTGGAGTTCGGGTTTGATAGTTTTTAGTTTATTTGAATTGTATAAGAATAAACCCTCAAAAGGTTCAGAAGGCCACCTGAACACGGAGGCAGAGCCTGAGGTGACGTGTGGACAGGCCAAGGAGCACTGAGGAGTTCCCAAGCGCAGGCTGGGGGAGAGCCCAGGGAGGTCCCCTGGGTGGGACCAGCTTGCCAGCACTTGACCTGGGACTTCCCGCCTGCCAGAAGACAGGGCAGGAGCGCGGACGAGGAAAGCCTGAGGAGGCAGCCCCCGCAGGACGGCTCGGCTGCCTTGGCCACGGGGCCTTCCATGAGAGGGCTGGCCGGGTGCAGCTGCAGGGAAGGGCAGTGCTCTGGCCTCTCGGAGGATAGCCAACCTGGCCCCCAAATGGTCCTGCAGCCCTGGGGCCCGAGAGCATCCCTTGGGGAGCGTGTCTAACCCAAGCAAGCTGCATGTGTGGCAGCGTGGGGTTAGTACGCCAAAGACTGCCAGTGTGTGCGACACAGCGGCCTCAGGAGCAGTAAGGCAGCCGCCTGGAATTAACCCACTTCTGCTTTACTAAGCCACTGACAAGCAGGGTCCTCCGTGGACTTGACTCCTGGCAGGCCACAAGTTTTATCTCGTGCCTCACCAGGACCCTGTTCAGAGAACAGGGAATTGTGTGTAAACGTGACA